AATCCAGAACTACCATTTCTTGATTATTTGATGTCAAAAACACCCTACTGTGCATTGTGCAATTTTGATAAAATTCATTATGAAATCCAACAATCACCAGATTCGGCACGGACTTTTTGAAACCATTGTTGAGTTGGCCCCACATTTAAAAGCAGATCCAAACTCTACCAAATTTGACACAACACCATTCACTCGAAATTTGGCTAAAGAATGGTCATCATTCGCATTCATCCGTTTTAATTCCTTCGATGTCATTGATGCGCACCGTCTCTATGTAACAAAAAGAATTAAATGATTAAAATATAGAATAAATATGCATTGTAATCGAAAGCCCGAGCCTCTCTGATCGTTTGTACAAATAGATAGAAAACGTCAAACAAGAACAATAAAGCGGCACCTGGCGACTGGTTGGAAAAATAGAGAATCATGAACATAGTTTGCTGTAACATATATGCGTCTGTCCAAACATTGAAAGTATGATACATTGCACTTAGTCCCCAGGTGCCGCTGTATTGTTTACTATTTTCACGATCAGAAAGGCTGGAAAGCCCTTACATTTCCATATGCGATGAAAAATAGCTGTTCATGTCTAAATTCCTCAAAAACTGGCAATATTTTTTCTTCACCATGGTTTTCCATAAACATTTTGTACGCTTTGTAAGCTAGTAATAAACCGATATTATCAGATATATTCTCGTTCAATGTCCGTTTACTATTGGATCTATCATTAATCTAGAATAAAGTAATAAAGTTAAATTAACTTGTTAATGCATTTAAAAAAATCAATTGAAAGATTCAAAAGTCTCGAATCACTCACAGTTGGGTCAATTTCAGACATGCTAAAGTGGGTGTGCTGTTCAATAAGGCAGTTGGTTCGATTTCTATATTCATTTTTCGTTCCAATCGACCATTCATCAGTCTTTTTTCCGTTTTTATCAAAATCTATTCCTGTTTCAAAAACAGACTAAATTTAATACCGTTTGATAGAAATTCAGTGGAAAATCTTTAGTGTCACGCATCAATGACGGCAAAATCAGCTGGAAATATCCGAAAGTGATATCAAAATTTTGCAAAATACTGCCAGTTTATACCAATTAGAATGAAATTTTATCGTCATTTATAAGTCGCGCTCAACCTGTGCTTCTCTCCCATAAGAACCAATGTATTTGACGTGACAGTGAATAGCGGTAGCGCCTAAATAGGATCTGCGGCAACTTAAGGAACTATCAATACTTCTTGTTATTGCGAAATTCATGACAACAACATCAAGTATTGATAGTTCTTGAAAATTCCGCAAATTGCGAATAGGCGCCACCGCTATCTTGCGCCGGTCAAAAGCACAGTTTGGTCGCGCTGCAGAACACACATTTCCTATGAAATTAAAATTATGTTAATTTACCTTTACTATCGAATCCATGTGCAAATTCATGACCAAAAATTGATATTGCGGCCCCATAGTTTAGTGCTCTGTTCAGAAAAAATCGAAAGATAATAAAGATACAAATTCAATTCGGATTATAATTTAATTTCAAAATCAGTCAATTGTTCATACCTACATCGAGTCTATACTTACTCTATACCCAAGCCATAATATGGAAACTGTAAATAGCCCATTGGAAACACTGAAACCAAAACGAAACCAAACAATTCGATTACAACAAAATTCGATGCATTATGCAATTAAATATGATTGGGACAATTTTACTCAAACTATTTGAACCATAGAAATGTCTGGCATTAACTTCTGTGGCCATCATATTCAGCACCTGCCAATGGTTTTTAGCAATTGTGTTCAATCCTTTTTCCACATTCCACATATTGTGTTCATTCATTAACAATGAACTCTCGGTAAAATTAAAATCCTTCAAATATTCATCGACTTTGGTTTTATTCAGTAAAAACTCTGCAAATCCAATATTCACTTTCATGGCCTGAGACTTTTCAATAACAACTCTTTTTGTCGGTTGGTCCATCCAATCGCTATTTTCCACCAATTCATTGAACGCAGAACGAATGTCTTCGAAACTGTTCAATAGCTTTGGTTTTGTTTCATTGAGAAAGTTTGGCATTGCTATCGCATCGCCAAGAAACATTCCCATACGATCGTTTACAAGTTGTGCACAGTGATTCGATTGATGGATGGATATATTGCGATAATAGATATTGTAATTGAAACGAACTGATCCAATTAAGTTATCGATAACTACCCACCACATGTATGATTGTAAGCCGTTGGGATCTATTTTGTTCATTTGTTTGTAATCGTATCGTATCTAAAATATTAATAAAAATTAATGATCGACGAGAAGTACTTGACGTTGTATTCATTTAAATGATAAAATTATTCTTTGTTCCACCTAGTATTACTGAAATAATTTCGATGTTCAAAGCTTAAATTGTTTCACAAAGTTTTCCAGTACCTACCTTAGGTAATTGATTTGTTGCATTTTGGATCATTTTGATCATAGTATCAATTGCGATCGTTTCATATGGTTGTAAAAATTTGATGTAATGTTGTAATTTCTGTTTTATACCAGGCGAAAAGATGTTAAACGAACGGAATCTGTGTGCCACAACAATTTGTTCGCGTAATTTATTCCACGTTGCTGTCCTACTGAATGTACAATTACGATCGCCTTTGTGAATGTAAGGGAAGCAATATTCTTTAAGCAGTTTTTTGATTTTCCTTCTTCCAGATTCCATTTGTTTTTTACCTTAAAAGACACATCGAATAACAAAATGAAAAAATCACACCAAACCATTGGGCCTGTTTTTGACATGTATTCGCATTGCTGCCCGAGTATTGGGATAAGTATTTGTAAAAAATTGGCAGCATTTACCTAATCTAAATACATGTACAAGGCAGGCGCTCAATCGCAAAACTAAAAGCATTCGAGGTAAGTGAAAAGGGTAAACTTTGTGTGGATATCTTACGCGTGTCCAATTTCATACAAGATTTGAACATGATTCGACTCTGCGCAACAACTTTTGACTCATTTTCGCTCGGTTTTGATTCGAGCAAAACTTTAATGGCGTCTTCAACTCGTTCTTTCAATATCGTAGTCCAACTCCATTGGGTGAGTGATTTCGGTCTAAAATCAACATAAAATTAAATGAAACGCATTTGTATCGAATGTCATTTGCATATACACAATTTACCGAGTGTGATATTTAGCCCAGTTGCCACAAGTAAACTCATAAAAATCCTCGCAAGGATCGACTTGAAAGTTCACACTTTCTAACAGATAAGATGCAGCTCGGATACACTCAGATGAAGTACAAAGGCGTTCACATGTTTTATTGCATACAGTTTGATTTAGTATCGTAGGTGCTGGATTTCGTTCTATGGATTGAGTTGTTGTTGTTGTTGTTGTTGTTGACGCTGTTGTTGTTTGAACTGTTATCGGTGCTTGAGTTGTTGTCGCAGTTTGAGTCGTTGACATTGTTGACGCTTCAGTTTGTGTTTGAGCTATTGTCGGAGTTTCAATTGTTATCGTTGTCGGATATTGAGCTGTTGCTATTAACGCTTCGGGCACAGGTATTGATGCTTGCGTTGATGTTATGGGCATGTTGTGACTTTCAAAACCCGCACATGTTAAAAAGATGGAAGCACCCAAGAAAATCGTAAACCCAATCAGAATAACAATGAAAATGCGCCGATTTTCAAATAAAGTAATCCTCATCTGTTTCCATCTGAAAAATGAGAGCCATTTTAATAAACTTCATAAAGAGCATAAGAAATGCTTTCGTAAAATCAACGAAATATCTACCTGGACGGACGTTGTTCGGCTTGACTTTCAATGTTATCAACATTGTTAAACATTTTGTCGTGGAAATAGCTTTCGCTTGATGAATAAAAATGAACTGACTGAAATGATTTTTATTCCAAAGGAAAAGACAACAAGTGAACTGAAATGATGTGCGATATCAGTTTGTGGTGTGTAGCGATAAGGCATCAACTCTCAAAAGGCGCCGTTAATTGAATGATGAAACGTAGCGAAATATGCATAGGTCAATGTTTCACTTGACCACTTTATCTTGCTGCTTGATATTCATAGAAAATATTGCAATCAGCTTTCTCGAAATTGGCACTGTAACCCATGAAAAAAAGTACATCTGGTGTACAGCCATGTTTGCGCCATGTTTATATGGTGTACACCAGGTTTGAGCCGAGACTTGCGCCCAATCCACACACATCACACACCGTACACCACACATCATACACCATTAAATGCCTATAACACTAGGCGCAAATTGGTGTGAGCTGTCACAATGCTTTCAAACAACTTGAATTGCTACGTTGACGTTGCAACGACAATATTGTTGGGAATTACAAATCACATTTTTTTGTTTCGATAAATTCAAAATCATAATTTAGAAAACCTCTTAAGCCATTGATTGTGTGTATCATCCATTTGCTTTGCAGTATTTGGCATATGCATAGCATTGTCAATATATTTATCAGTATTTTTACTGCCTTGTTATAGCCTTAGAAACAAATAGAACAGTTTTTCAACAGATTGCTTTTTATTTTATCGTTTATTAAATTTCAATATAAGAATATGGGAGACAAATTTTTTTCCATACAAAGGTAGTTACCGTTACCGACCAATGGGACATATATGTCCCATCATTTTTTTCATATTTCTAGTTAAAAAAATTAATTTTTGATAACATTTTTATTTGGTTTTTGGGGTCGCTGAGCACGAATCTGCAATCAGAATTGCGAAATTCCCATCCGTTCAATCTTGGTCGTCAAAGGGTTAAATGAAACTCTCGAAGAACGGGTATGGAATACAGAAAAAATCGGAGCAAATATTTTCGTTCTTGTGCATGTCTTATGCGTTTCTACACAATTTACTTGAATACAAACTTTTCTTTCTAGTCCAACAACTAAAACACGAATGATACTTTTGATTTCGGTCAAGCTGCTTTTATTTCCAAAAATCACCAATTCAAATACGAAAGAGAGGCGCTTGATTGTTGAAGATCTCGGTATTCTTTCTGAATAAAAGTACAAAGATCATATTACTAAGATATTACTTATCCATAAAAAAAGTTTGAATAAAACAACTATATTTAAAGAGAATTGAAGTTTTATCTATTTTTATGTTCTTCTACTTGTGAAACAATTGATTTAAAAAAAACGGTTGGTTTTGCAATATTGGCTTTTAGTTATAATTTTACATGGCTAGGAAAAACAAGGAGATAATACAGCTAACTTTTCATGTGGAAGATTCCATGGTTTTGAGCTCCTTTTGGTCGATTGGGTCGTTTTTCGAGAACCAATTTCTTTGCGTTAGCAAGATTCTTGCCGATGGACGATTTGCAGCGTTTAATTTCAGTGTTACGCGAACGATATTCATTGCTTCTAAGAATATATTACGCCACTGTTCCATATGTCTTGCGAAACTCTCTTCAATGTTACAATTCTCAAATGGTTTATTGAATGGATGCATAATAGTAAAACAATTATCAGATGAAAAACCTCTTTACGAGGTTTAAATGGAGTGACGCTCTTGTGCGTGGATTTACCACTCAAAATGACTGATATCATTTTGAGTGACGCTTTGACGCTG